ATTCATTGATCCAGATGTTTCCTCTCAGTCTGTTTCCAGTCATGACTTCTGCTTCTTCTGCATCTTCTGTTTTTCACAGCTTCTGATTAATGCAAACATTTATTTTGGATTTTTGATGAAATGTCCTGATTCTAAGCTCAGGTTTGTGATGCAGCTGAATGTGACACATTCAAGATTCAAGAACTGTGAAAATCCAATGATTCTCTGATGTTCCACCTTCTGGCTGATTCATGGTGTTAGAAGATCAGATCCTTTCAAAGCAGGTTTTGGGTTCAGAGTTCTGATCAATGAACTATTTTGTCCATAAAGTGTTGAAACATTGCGTTCTTCTAGTTATCTGTATTATTTAAAACCAAACACGCCTGATTTTCACATTTCACATCAATTCAGGTTTTTTTTTTACCTACAAACAAAAACTGGGCTCAGGAACGTTCTGCTGGTTGTTCTGGCTCCACGCTTCAGATACCTCAGGAGGTCAACACACATCGGACCACATCTGTTTATCTGTTTACAACCGACGCCCGGTACCGGCTCTCAGCCGAGTCGTGTTCGTCCAGAAGCCAGTGGAGCTGAACGTCCAGAACAAAGCCGGAGCTTCAAAGGCCTCACAGCTGGTTGAACGTCCTTCAGACTGAAGCTGCTTCACAGATTAGAGACTCGGTTCTGCTCAGTTTGGGCTCAAAACGCTGAAGAGAAGAAAATCAGTTCAGATAATCACAGTTATTTATAACTTCTGACACGTGCAGCTCGTTCAAAGTGTTTTAAAATTAAACAGAATAAAACGTCATGAATCACATCAGATGAATGAAAACTGAAGAAAAGCCCAAAAGTTCAAACTAAAGATGAAATCTGCTGATGAAACAATAAAAGCTTCTCAGAGATGAAGTGTAATAATAAAAATAAGATAAATGAATTAATGAACTTTTACGCTCTGCTCTGCACATCGACTCTTTTTTGGTTAATTTCAGGACATTTTAGACTCATTTCTAAGTTTTATGTTTCTGTTTATTGTTAAATCAAACCTCCTCCTGCAGGTCCTTCAGAATAAAAGCCCTCAGATTACAGCTTTTATTGTGACGGAGTGATGATGACAAGCAGAATAAAAGTTTCTTCTGAACGTTTCTGTTTCCTGCTGCAGGTCTGAGCAGCTTCCAGGAGAGCGTGGCCATGGACCGGATCCAGAGAATCATGGGCGTCCTGCAGAACCCGGACATGGGGTAAATACCTGGAGCCGCCCGGGCCGGTTCTGTAGAATGAAGCAGGTGGAAAAGAGTCCGTTTAGTCCTGCAGCGGATAAAGACGAACACACGGCAGAAAAACAGGTTGAAACGTTTAGAAGATAAAACGGTTCTGGTCCGGTGAGCACAGCTGGTTAATGAGCAGAACCGAGCTGCTGCTAGAGGCAGTTAAATGGACCTCCAGCTACTTAAATGTTTATATAATTAATAATA